AACTATTATATCACTTCATTATTGCTAACATAGGAAAGAAGGAGATAACTATATACTCATTATTCTCAGCAGGGTCACACTTTTATTAAATTGACTTTTGTAATTTTAAATAAAAAGAGGATGCAATGATGTATTTATTTGCTTATATTAATTTATAGTATTATTATTAATATTATTACTATGATTTCTTATTATTATTATTATTATTATTATTATTATTATTATTATTATTATTATTATTATTATTATTATTATTATTATTATTATTATTATTATTATTATTATTATTATTATTATTATTATTATTATTATTATTATTGTTATTATTATTATTATTATTATTATTATTATTATTATTATTATTATTATTATTATTATAATTTATCTTACCGAAATACTCCATGCAGTGTCATAACCCTATAAGGAAAATACTACCTACTCTACGTAATATATATTTTACAACAAAAATTTAAAAAAAGGTTACCAGTTAGCGATGGATGCCTGTATTGGATCAATTTATTTTAAAAAATCATGAAGCATATTGTTTTGTTTTGGCTTTGCATAATGCGAAGTGGGAAAGTTGTCCGATCTCTTTTTTGTCCACGACACTGATGCCAATTTCAATCAATTCAATTAATGCCTCAATTCATGGCTTTATCTCTCTCAGGCCGTACAAGTGGGAAAGTGGGAAATGTGGGGAAATGGGGGAAAACAAAGAAAATAAAAAAAGCGTCGAACGGAAATCCCGGACAAACCGCAATGGCCGGCAGCAGACAATGCAAATTGTTCGAGTGCCGTCTCTTTCCCAGCTGTATTGCCCTCCCGCTCTCTCGTGTATCTGTATATCTGTGTATCTGTAACTGCGGTTTCCGTTTTGGCTTTTTTCTCCTTCTGTCTGTTTTTATTGCATGTGAAGTATTTGAAGTATTTGCGAACTACGCTCGAGTGTATTCATTCTCGTTTTAAAAAGGGAGAAGAGGCCAAAGGGGGCTGGCAAAAAAAGAGGGAAAAAGGACTTTAATGTACTCGCAGTTCATTTCGTATTCATGCACTTTACAATTTCTTGTTTCCGATGCAGGCCAAATGCATGGGCAGCCACAATGGCTCGGCCAGGGGACATGACCTCGCCAGCACACAGGAGCAGCATCAGCAGAAGCAGGATCTGCAGGATGTCTGCTCCTTCGGTTTCGTTTGGGTAATCATCTGCTCCTGAGTGCTTGAGTGGTCTTTAAGCTATCTGCTAGCCATGATGGATAGATGGGGGCTGTGGCTCCAGTACCAGCTCCAGCTTCAGCTCCATCTGGGGAATATGATTTATGGGAGAGCCCAAAACCAGCCGAGCTCTCGTTTTTAGTGAGTATAATAATTTGATATCCAATTTATTTATGTACTTGCCAAAAATATGAACGCAGCACTTTTTTAAGTGAAAAGTAACACCAGTCTTTTGGTTTAACTATACCATAAATTATGCTTTGGTTCTCTTTCTAGTACAGCTAAGCTCACTAGTTGATTCACATCATTGAACTGTGTATATTTACAAAATAAAACTCTTGGAATATATTGGATCACTGGGTTTTACATATATTAAAAACTGTACTCTTTTTATACCCTTGCTGGGTATTATAATTTCAGTCAGAAGTTTGCAACGCAGTGAAGGAGACCTTTCCCACCCTATAAAGTATATATATTCTTGATCATCTAGCCGAAAGCCACAGCAGCTATGGCTGGTATCCATCCTGTAGCTTAATTTAGAATTAAGCATACATCGTACAAATAAAGAAATATTCTTGATCAGCATCAACAGCCAAGTCGATCTAGCCATGTTCGTCTGTCCGTCTGTCTGTTTCTAGTCCCTCAGTTTTAAAGCTATTTATATGAAACTTGGCATATAGTCCAGTTAACGGGGGAAATTAATAATAATTTAAGTCGCAACTAAAGCTAGAGGAATTAAAAATAATTTCAGCAGCCCATCCAAATTTTCGACAATTTCTATGCAATTTGGCCGTTTCTCAAATTGGGGTACCGGGCGAACAGAAACCAGCAGCAAGCAACTGAAAACTGTTATAAAAAGTCCAAGTTTCGAACCATTTAGGAGCAAGCGAAAGTAACGGCTGTTTTCCCAAAATGCAACTCTGGGCAGGCAGCTCAGAGAGGGATAGCAAGTGTCCAAAAAAGAAGAGAGCAGACAACACAGAGTTGTATTTTGGGAAAGAAGCCAGGTTTGAGTCTCCGCTGACTTTCGCTTGCTCCCCTAAGGTTCGAAACTTGGACTTTTTATAACAGTTTATACCAGTTTTCAGTTGCTTGCTGCTGGTTTCTGTTTGCCTGTTACCCCAATTTGAGAAACGGGCAATTTGCATGGAAATTTTCGAAAATTTGGATGGCTGCTGTAGGGAGGTTGTTGTAATGGGGTTGTTGTTGCAATCAAATGACTGTGCCGGCGGTAAAAGGGTATAAATGCATAAAATAAAATATAAATGTTTATACCAGTTATTATTTCTGGCCCAAAGTTTTTATAACAGTTTATACCAATTATCAAGTAAATAAATAAATAAATATTTAAATTAATTATTTTTTATTTTCTTAAATATTATAATTTTCAGTTAACGGGGGAAATAAAGTGCATCCTTTCTTGTTTAAAATATGATTTTATGGTGTTTAAATTTATTCCTGAGAAAAAAAGTGCTTTTTAGGGTTTCCTATTTATTCCGATTCAAATAATAAGGCAAATTTTAGGCGTACTTCCATTTTCAGGAAATATTCCAGAATTGAAAACCAAGTAAGATGCATAACGAATTTAAGCCATGGATGTGAAATGGAATGCAAATACTAGGACACTCTGCAATCAGGCATTCTGGGACACTCGAAACGAGTTCGGTTTTAAACACAGATCCTTACAGAAAGAGAAAAAAATAAATAAAAATAGAGAAACAATGTGAGAGGACCAAGGCAAATATCGAACAGGAAAGCACGTGCAGGCGGCTGGCGACAATCATTACAAGGACGATGAGCATAAACAACACGGCGGCAACACACATCCAACATCCAACACATAACATCCTGACAGACGGAAGCGCAAACACAGCACTTACACACTGGCACACTCACTCACGCGCCGTGGTGTGCGTTATTTACATACCAAACACACACACACACACTCGTAGCACGTGCCATCCTTTATTTGTGTCGCCATTTATAAGGAGGAGAGAGGTGCATCTGCCATATACCATTTTATGCGACACAAAAATCCGCACATTATGTCAAATGTTTTGTTTGTCCTTCACGTTGGTGATGTCAGCGACCGTTGTCTTTTTGTCCCGTGTCCTGGCGGCAGCAGCAGGACTACGTGCCTGTTGAATTGGCGCACCACGATTCAGATTTAGTTCGGATTTTTACAGGCCAATCGAGCACAAATTAAGCCCGGATCAAGGACTAAGGACCTGGCCAAAAGCAATCGCTGGCTAAGCACTCCGGCGACTCCGGACCGCTTTCAACCTGAAGTTTTTGGCCAGCTTAACTTGCAGCCAAAGTTTTCGTTTTTGTTTTCGTGTTCGTCTCCAGTGCCCTTCGCTCCCTTCCCCCCGAACTCCAACTCGTTGGTAAGAGAGAAGTAAGCACAATTGGGTCAATACACTGCTGCCAAATCGCTTGTGTTCGAGCCAGGGATTTGTTGGAAGCAGGAAGAGGATTCGGATACAGATACACTTGAAGATACAGCTGCAGACAGAGAGTCACAGGACAGAAGGCATTACCAGACTAATCCTTGGACTAGGACTCTTTCAAGTTCAATATCTGTTGCGCTGCGTCGCAGTCTCTGCGATAATTGATAGCTGGAAATTGTTAATTATCATGAAAGTCTCGCTCTCAGCATCCTTGTAATGGGCTTATTAGTCGCATGGGCTTTGTGAATTTTATATATCCACCTGGTCAGGTTTAATCCCAGGACTCTGGCCAGGAGGACTGCTCGTTCAATTATCCTAATGCCATTTTATCGGCATTACGCATACGCAGCGTGTGTGTGCAACCAACGGGAGGCTCATAAAATGCAGAGCAAGCATTAAGATATTATTTGTGGTTTCCCGAGTGCAATTACTTGCAGAATATTCGAATGGAGGCTTTAAGTTCGCCTCGCTTAAACAGCCCAAATGGGTCTCCAACGGATTCCTGGGAGTACATTGTGCGAATAATTTCTCTAAGCAACACCACACATTCCAAAACCAAAATTTCAGGCCGCAAAGTGTCAGACAGATGCTGCGGCTGCCGCTGCCGGCAATAAATCTTGAAGTTCATTAAAAAGTTTATTTATATTTCACCTGCTGGAGTCTGGCAAAGTGTCAAAGAAATAAAGGCCCGAATCGCCGACAAATCTTTATAAAGCCCGACCTTGACTGATGGCTTCTCATAAGGATTTTAGATTTACCAAGAAGTTGGGCCCAACGAAATTAATGTTTTAACAAAGAACAGCAATAAGCTGTAGAGATAGAACAAACCAATTACCAAGTTTGTAGCCAAAAATATATTTTAAATAAAATAGAAACCGAGAAACACTGATAATTAGTTGTCAGTTTTGTGAGTATTTTCAATAGAAATTCATAAATTCCCAAAAAAAAAAAGCAGGGTTCAGCTGAAAATATTTGTGCACTCTGTTAATTAATTCTACAAATAATTGCCAGCCGGCGCAGCCACATGGATTTTTCTCTTATCTAAAGCCAAATATGTGCATTCACTAGCTTCATTCAACTAAAACGCGTTTCGCCATTGAAGAGTCAACCGGGACGCCATCAAAAGGAAGCGCTCCAATAAGTTTGAATGGCATCAGGATGCTCGCACATACACACACTCAGCCAGACACGAAAACCAAGGGTATTTGCATGTGGAGCACGGGATAGTTGCGGCTTCGTGTCCTTGTCTTTGTATTCACCAACAATGGGGCGGTCTTAATCTGGCATTAATTGGAAATCCAAGACCACATGAGAGCGGCAGTGCAAATGAACAGATAGTACTGAATAATAACTAAGACTTTAATGCAGACACATATATGTTTTATAAAAAGGAAACATGCAAATTTAGGTTTATAATTGTGTCTGCGGAGGTTGAAACTTGAGTTAGTACAAGTCATTATGAAATACAGGTAACACTCACCCCGTATCTTAACTGGCCTTGTATAATATATATATAATCAATAGGGTTAGGTAACCAACAAGTATTATTAACAGAAGAAAGATGAAAACAATCTTCCAGATTCGATCGGTATTGTGGCGTTCGAGGCTAGCATTATGGTTAGCAAACATCTTGATATTAATTAATTGAGCTAAATTTAAATGAAATGAATTAAATTATAAACTTGTTCTATAAGTTACTCACCTTAAAACATTGTTGACACCAAACAGACAGCTTTTTGATCCCGACTCCCCGATTGCACAGCCTCAGGAGCATTCATTCACAGCGCACGTCATAGGCAGAGCACTCGCCAAAGTCCGACTTGAGGGTGAAGTACATGGCCACGACAAGACCGATCATCAGGAGCAGAATGAACATCCAGTAGACAATCCGCCAGAAGGGCCATCTTCCTGGGGGCTTCTTTGGCTGACTACCCTCTGGCTCCTCCGCATCGACCCGGCGACGACGCAGCTTGTTGCCCATTTCACTCAGAGTTTGACTTCTGCTTGGGGGACTCGGCTTGGAATTGGGTTTCCGGAATTGGGCAGGGAACGGGTGAGTTTTTCCCCCTTAGGCTGATAATTGATTGGATTTTCTGGGCCGACTCGACAACAACAGAATGATAACATTTTATTGAAATTACTTAACCAGCTCGACCGGCAGAGATTCATCTCGACGGCAAAACTTTTGGCTAATTATTTAAGTTAATTGGCCTTTGTCCGCAAAGGACAAGGCGCAACAATGGCAACGAAGACGAGATCCTGATAATGATGATGATGATGATGATGATGGGGGTGGTTAGGTCAGGCCTAAAATATTTGCACCGAGGCCACAAAATGGCTCGCAAATTTGTTCAAATTACTTGAAACACACAACAAAAGTTGCGGCCACTCTTCGACATCCTTACAGCCAGACGCCATGCATAAATAAAGTGGCCTCCGTCTCCGTTTCCTGCTCCTGCTCCTGTTACCACCTCCTCCTCCTCCTGAGAGAGGGAAATACAAAAGGACTTTGTTTGCGGTCTAGAGATGAAAAGTCATTTCTCTCCATTATTTGCACACTAATTGGTTGTAGTAGGACTTGTGCATAGTCTGTGCAATTTACCCAACGAATTTGTGGAATTCAGTGAGGTGTCGGAGGGCACCCACTCGTCGTCGTCACTCTGCCTTTTTGGGGCTAGTTATTTGTTGTATCAATTAGGTGTCCAAAATTGGCCAAATGAAGGATGCAACTTAATGTGAAACTGTTGCATTTGCCGGGTAGCTGGAGATCTTATGCTTGGCCTGGTCTTAAATTCGGTTTCGTCAGGGTCTCTCTCTCGTATCCTGCGGCTGACTGTGGCTGGTCCTTTGCCGTTGCCGTCGAAATTGCCATTACTGCCTCGATTCCAGTTTCTGTTTGATGTTAATGAAAGTTTCCGTCGTGCAAATAAAGCCAAAAGCATGGAAATCAGTAAAACAAATTGCAATCTGCTTTTTATCGCACGTCTCTGCCGCTGCATGACAAGGAGCGAATGGCTCCTGGCTGCCAGCAGCTTCCTTGCTCCGTCATCGATTGCCTGCCGCCTGGCTTTTCCTGCTTCTCCACCATTTCTTGCCCGACCGACCCCCTTTTCCAGTTACTGGCCCGGCTATTGACTTGCTCATTATGGCCCTGACGATGAGACTGCGACTGCTCTTGCTCTGTTCCCGATTCTGTTCCTGCTCCCGCCATATATCTGTGGGTATTTTGGTTCCGTTTCATTTTCAATTCGCTTTCAATTTGGTTCACATAGCATAGCTCTTCGCTCTGGTATCGTGGCCGGGCAATCAGGGGGCATAAATTGTTAATATATCTTAACGGATATTCAATTTCCCGTGATGCCCCACGATCCTCAACCAAAAACGCATTAAATTCGTAACAATGCTAAGCCGCTTCAACCGAGAGCAGACTTCCAGACTTCCAGCGGGGGAGAATTATTAAAAATTCAAAGTCGTTATAGAATGGCAAACTTTTCCGTCCCGGGCCAAGACATAATAATAATATAGAGCCAAAGCCAGTGAGTAGACGAGCTGAACTGAAAATAAGGAATGGCCAAGGACAATGAGGAGACAACAGGCGAACTATGAACTGCGAAACTGAGAAGCTGCAGGAGCTACAGAAACTGCAAAACTGCACAACTGCGAAACTGAGAAACTGCTAGACTGAGGAACTGCGAAACTGAGATGCCGATGCCGAGAAACTATGCCCAAGTTGGCGGACAGACGGAGAGTCCGCTTGGCCCTCTGTTCAACTGTTTATTTTCACTAGACTCCTCCTGGCTTCGGCCTTATTACGCTTGGCGGCCCATCATCTGCATGGGGGTGGTGTCCCGTTGGCCTGGTGTCTGTGTGTCTCTGTGTCCTGGGTTAAGAACAGCCAGGAGGAGGCCGGCAAGTTGTCAACTAACTTTGCAACAATAATCGCCAAACGTGGCAGGAGGAGCAGTGACAGAGCTGAAATAGCAGCTCGTAGATAAAAACCAGAAAACAATAAGACTCTCGGTTGACTTTTATTCCTCCATTCCCTTCCGTTTTTCCTGCCCGCCAGTTTAATGCACTGGGACTTTTAGCAGTGGCAGCGTTTACCCTCGAAAAAGCATGAAAAAAAAAGAAAAACGTAAAGGTCCTCAAAAGGGGCAAACAGCAGCAAATAGGCAAAGGATCTCTTCAGACTTTCGAGGCTCGGCCCACAAAGGCGTGATTGCTTTTTCCCTCTGTTTGGCCAGACGGCAGTGAAGGATAATGGCAACGACTTGGTAGGGATTCAAAGCAAAAGTTTGACGTATGACATAGTTTTCAAATTTTAATAAAATCGCCCACAAAAGAGTGAAAAGAAAAAGTGCCTCCATTGAATATTTATTAAATTCTCTACTTAATTGAGCAATATACACTTTTAATTAACCAAAACCAGGACGAAATTATACAAATATGTTGCGGTAGTTTTTGTTTCAGGCCGCCAGCTTGCACTATAAATTATACGAAATGTATAGCCATAATTTTGAGAGAGCCCATTTAAAATGCAAATAGGAAAATGTTTTAAGCATTAAAATTGACAATGTGAAAATGGAAAGATAAAACTGAATAGTGCCATTTTATAGATCAGAGATGAAATATATGCTTTTCTTCTTAAATCTACCTTTATTCAAGAGTGATAAGGTCTTGTTTGATTTATTACAAACATACATAACAAAATATAAATAAATTATAAACCCAATTACCAAACAGTATTCATGGCTTTCAGATAATAAGAACCAAACTTTGCAGACATAAAACATTGTCATTTTCCTACAATTATATTTCTCCCTCAGACTTTCTCACAAAAGTAATCCCATTTAATTATAGAAATCTGTTACTGAACTTTTAACTTCATTGAAATATTGAATTAGCTTTGCCGCAGGACGAGAGGAGCTGCTCTACAAAAAATGTCTAACCAATTTCTGGCAATGCCATGAGAAGTAGTGAGTGAGTGCCTCTCGGAAAAGAGCAAGGAAGGCGTAGCAGCAACCGAGCTGGATAGTGTGCGTGGCATATGTAAATTTCGGGCTAATTAAAATTAGCATATATTTCCCCTTTTCGCAGAGGACACATCCTTTGCCAGAGCGGCCCTATTATCTGGCTCAGCCGCAAGGAGACGACGGGCCAAAACTACGCGCCGAGAGCTGATTAAAAGAGAAAGCTAACAAGCGTTTGCTCTTTGCCCCCTGCCAGGACGCACATATGGTGTCCTTCACCCCCTTTTCGCCAGAGGGTTTCTGTGTCATTTGGGCTCCGCATTAGAGTCGTAAAAATTTATTGTAACTTTTTTTCCAGGCCAATCCTGCCCTGCTCGGTCTGAGCTGGCGGGCTTAAGGCATTATGCCTTTTAATTAAACCGTTGAGATGTGTGTCAGACGTAAAATAAAATGGAGTGAAATATAATTTTGCATATAAAATACTCGCATTTAAATTGTTTTTGCTCTCGTCGAGCTGGGGCGGGCTTTGCTCGATTACAAAGCTTCGTATTAATTATGATAATTATGCGTAAGCGCTGGCTGGCATTTTAATTGCTCATACGCCATGTTGCACATTCTATATAAAAAATGCATTAAAAAAAGGGAGAAAAGCGGAAAACTGGAAAATAAAAAGAGAAACATACAACATACAACAGAAGGCATAGTAAAAATCCTGTAAATATTAAATATTACAAAAGACTATGCATCAATTTGTAGCTGAGTTCACTTGGCTTGTTTTGTTGGAGTGGATGCACTGTCCTTGGGCGAGTCCTTTGTTAATTGCCGGAAATGCAAATGGGCGACGGAAACGACACACAATGAGTGCCGGAAGCCCGCTCGACCATAAATGATTTCCATTTTAAATGCGTGCGAAACGCTTTTCCATTTTCGCATTTATTTGCTTTGGAGGTGAGCCAGCGCTTTCCTTTTTTTTCCTTTAGGTTTTTTTTTTTTTTTTTGAGTGCCCATTTTGTACGCAATTTTCATTTCTTTGGGTCCTTGTTGAACAGGGGCAGCAGCAGCAGCAACAATTCTCTTTGGCTTCACACCAAATTTGATTTCATTCGCAAGACGCTCTCAGGTTAAATGGTGCAGAAACTCCTGTGTTGACTTGCTGACCGTGCGACCGACCCCAAGTAGGATCCGGGAATGAATTTAAAAGCCACTTCTCTGCTCCGGAGGGGCATGGGTAATGGGACGAATGGCCGAATCCGGTTTGTTGTCTCTCTATAAATAAATGTCACAAGTTTTACATTTCGAGCGCTCTCTAGATTCTCTCCAGTCGCTGTCAATTTGTGTGCTCTCGCTTTTTCTGTGTGTCGCATTTGCATAACAAAATTGCTCTGCATTTCTCATTTCAATGCGATTTTTGTAGCATTTTTTACATATTTTCTCGGGAGGGAAGGAGGGGCGGCACACACTTTGAACTTTGCTTTCGAACGGCGTCGAAGTCAGAGAAAGAGCCAGTTATCCATTTGCAGCTCAGCAAGTTTTGACTGCAAAATGTCAACAAAATAAATGCATAAATAAGGAGATCAGCGTGTCAGGCCACGCCCACTGGGCGCCGCCTCCCCTTCGTTTAAGGAGGTCTCTCAATATAACGAGATGATGAAAAATGTTTGAGTTTTGCATTATTAAAGTTCTTGGCTGGCAGTTGGCAACTTTTCACGTGCTGATAAATGGCCCCAGGCACTCCTCTCTCTCCCCTTTTGGCAGGGAGTAAAATCAGGGAGGGGAAAAGAAGTATAAGGAAAACGAAGAAAATACGGAAACTATTGCGTCTCCACTCCGCGAGAAAACATCTTTCAATTGAGACATATATATATATCTCAATTTCCGTGTTTGCTTATACGCGAGTGAGGGAAATCCATAGCATACTTTTCCGGGGGAAAAGCATCTGATAATTAAAACATTTTAATTAATATATTGAGTGCGGATTTCACGCACTTTACTCCCCTCCACACATGATTAAAAGATTGCCTTATTTTCTTTACGGGTTTTTCTTTTCACATCAATCCATTTATTGTAAAATAAGCCGGATTTCAGGGCCAAGCTGGTTTCTGGCTTCCCGGCTTTCTGGCTTCTGA